CTCCTTCCGTTACCCTGCCTTTCTCCTTCCTTTAGCCTGCTTTCTCCCTTCCTTTAGCCTGCCTTTCTCCCTTCCTTTACCCTGCCTTTCTCCCTTCCTTTATCCTGCCTTTCTCCCTTCCTTTACCCTGCCATTCTCCCTTCCTTTATCCTGCCTTTCTCCCTTCCTTACCCTGCCTTTCTCCTTCCCTGCCTTTTCTCCTTCCTTTTTACCTGTTTTTCTCCCTTTTTCCTCCTTTCTCCCTTCCTTTACCTGCTCCCTTCCTTTATCATGCCTTTCTCCCTTCTTTCCTGCCTTTTACCCTGCTTTTCTCCCTTCCTTTACCCTGCCATTCTCCCTTCTTTATCCTGCTTTCTCCCTTCCTTTTCCTGCCTTTCTCCCTTCTTTTTCTCCTTCCTTTAGCCTGCTTTCTCCCTTCCTTTCTGCCTTTCTCCTCCTTTACCCTGCTTTCTCCTTCCTTTCCTTTCTCCTTCCTTTACCCTGCCTTTCTCCCTTCCTTTACCCTGCCTGTCTCCCTTCCTTTACCCTGCCTTTCTCCCTTCCTTTATCCTGCCTTTCTCCCTTCCTTTACCTTGCCTTTATCCCTTCCTCTCCCCTTTCCTCTTTAAGCCCCTACGTTTTCTCTTCCCTTCCTCCGTTTTGTATAAAGGAAAAATGTGCATCATGTGACGGTCCAGCTGTTTTGATGTTCTGTACTTGCCTCGAGTAAGAACAGCAGCGATGATTATAATGATAATAATAATGGAAATAATAATAATGATATTGATAATGATATAAATAATAGTAAGAATAATGAAAATAGTAATAATAATGGTAATTATAATAATAATGATCAAAATGGTATCACCATCATCAATAACAATAAAAATGGTAACCATAACAATAAGCAGCATGCGCGTGCGCGCGCATGTGATAATAATGACGATTATAATGATAATACCAATAATGATAATAATTATGGTAACAACAAATATAATAATGATAGATATAACTATAATGAAAAGCAACATGATGTGCGTGCGTGCATGTGTGTGTATCTGAGACTCTTTAATATCCATGTTGTTATATATCACTGTATTGAACACAAAAGCGAATGAGTTCAAGTCCGCAGGCACATGGGATGCGATTCCAGGCAGATGAGGTGAATCTAACACCATTTTAATTTAATTTAATTAAAAATTAAAACACCATTTAATCTAACACCAATAATCTACCATCAATCATTTTAGCTGAAAAGGCCAGCGATGCGCACAAACAACCGAACGACCACTAACGAGCGAACGAAACACAGGAAGAATTACAACGTCTTTGTCATTATTATAAATGTCAATATCATTAACATAATTGTCATTATCATAGCCATATCATAATTGTCATGAAAATTATAATAATTTCAGCAATTATCATTATTATCATTATCATTATCATAATCATTATTATCTTCATCATATCACCATTATTGTAATCATTATTATTAACGATTGTCATTTATGTCATCATTTTTATTATCATTATCATTTTTGTAATAGTAATAATAATTATTACTATTACTACGATCAACGATAATGTCACTATCTCACTCAATTATTATCATAGTTATTACGATAGTTATTGTATATCATAAATAATTCCAAATGTAATTATCATATCATATTTATCATTATCATTGTTATTGTTATTATCATTATCATTGTTTTGTTATCATTATCATTATTATCATCATCGTCGTCGCCATTATTGTTATTGTTATCATTTTTATTGTTGATATAACTATAATTACTTTATTTTCATTTTGATTACTAAGAACAGTGGTATTAATATCATTATTACATAATGTTATAATCATTATTGTTAATGTTATTATAATGATTGTTATAATAATATTTTTTTATCATTATCATTACTATTATCATCATCATAGTTATCATAATTGTTATCATAAAAATCACATTGAAAATAATGATAATTCTTAATTTATTAATTATCATCATTATTGTTATCATTGTTATTATCATTATCATCATTATTATTAGCACAATGAAAGTAATGATCATTCTTATTACTATTATCATGATCACCATTAATGTTATTATTATCATCATCATCATCATCACCATCATCACAATCATCACCATCATCATCATCATCACCATCATCATCACATCATCATCACCATCACCACCACCACACATCACCACCCACCATCACATCACCATCATCATCATCATCATTACTATTGCAATCAAAATGAACATCATCATCTTTTAGTTACTATTTTCTGAGCGATTCGAGCCCAGAACGAGGACAAAATATCTCACCAGGAACAAGTTAGGAAAGCCGAGGGAACAAGGAAAGACTTAGGGACGGAAATTAAGAAATTACCAGCAACTACCAGTTTAGAGACCGAAGTAGCGAGGCAGGAAAAAATGAACTGGAACTAATTTTTCTTTCGTGTTCAAGTAGTTTCAGAATAGATAGTACGTGCATACACGGCCAATCG